AAAAAAAAAAAAAAAAAAAAGTACTCAGAACCTCTGATTCTCTTGGTGGGGGAAAAAAAAGCCCAGAGCCAGTTGGACAGGCTAGCCAGGAATCAGACTAAATAAATCTAGGGCTCACCAGATGCTCATGCATCCTCCTCCCTCCCTGATTGCAATAACATGTTCCTACTCCGAGCAAAAGTTGTCATTTCCATTACTTCATCTCTTCTTTTTATGTCTCTTGTATCATAACACTGGACAGTAGGTAAAAGTCACTCCTCTCTTTTGTAATTAGTGAATAGGTTTTCCTTGAGTCACACTCCAGATAGGGCCTCTGGGCTTTAAATGGGAGCTCTTGCTTTTATTCACATCAAAATGTTAACTTACTGTTATCCTTTTCTTCAGAGAAAACCACCTTTAACTTTGGCATACAGCTTTCCAGATATTTCCTATGCAGCTTGACAAAGATTCAGTGCTTTAATTGGGCTCTTGAACCTTTTTCTAGACCAATCTGTGTACTTCTTTATAAAATCCAGTTTTAGCAAAGAACCCTGATAAGCAATTTAACAAAAAACTCCCACTGTTGATATCTGATGAGTTCCTCATCCTTCACCATTTCCAACATGATCCTGAGCTCTCTTTGAGGTAGGTTATTCAGTGCAGGTTAGACACAGATAGGTAAGTTTCTTGTAGGCAATTTAAATTAAAATAGGGTAAGTGTTCAGACATCTTTCTTATCTATACATGACTTTCATCCAACTAATCATGCACACCAGACCTGACCACTTTGTAGGCTGTAACATGGATCTACCTGTGCAGTAAATCACAGAAACAGTAGGGAACTACCCAAAATACAGACATAATGTTCTAAGAAAAACCCAAATCTAGTTAGACAATAACTTTAATTATTTAGAAGGTTCTTGTGACCTTAAAAGGTTGAGAGATAGTAATAAAAACTCATGACCAGACACCTGCAACCCACCCCTTTTAGCTCGTAGAAGGTGAAGATAGTAATCAAAACTCATGATCAGACACCTGCAGTCTACTGCTCTTAGCTCATGGTTTGCTTGATCATCGTTGCAAAAGTATATAAAGCTTCTTGACAAAAGCAAGCACGTGCCCTTTCTTTTAAGGAGCCTGTGCCCTTTAGGCATGTCGCTTTTTTTCTAATAAATTCTGCCTTAAACTATACTTGGAACTTGCTCTGAAATGCTTTTCTGTGGGAAAGTCAAAGAACCCACATAGCAACATACCGCATGCCACCCAATATCATCTTCATCAAGGATTCTGTTTAAATAAATTGAGCCAGAATCCCCTACTACCCCTGATGTTTCCTCTTAGTAATTTCCCGTGCATAACCCCACAACTGCTTTTTGGTTATAAATTCCCATTTGCCCCTGTTGTATTCAGAATTAAAATCAATCTCCACCTATTGAAAGACTCCGTTGTAGTGGCCCCTACACCTATTCCAGTAGTCCTGGTTAAGTCTTCCTTATTGTTCTTTAATAAGTATCATTGAATAATTGTTTTACTTTAACAAGATGCAAACATAGATATTTCCTTCACAAATATTATTATATTAACCAACTCTGCCAACATGGGTTTTGTTTGTTTACTTAACCATTAATCTTGAGACATCTACATGTTTGTTCATATAAATTTGACTCATTCTTTTTAATAGCTGCCTAGTCCATAATAAAGATGTAACACAATTTATTTTATTTATTATATTTATTTTATTTATTATATTTATTTATCTCACCGTGTCCCCCAGGTTGGAGAGCAGTGGCAGACTCACGGCCACCACAGCATCGACCTGCTAGGCTCTGGTGATCCTTCTACCTCAGCCTTCCAAGTAGCCAGAACTACAGGTCTGCACTACCACGCCCAGCTTATTTTTTATTTATTGTAGAGACAAGGTCTTTCTAAGTTGCCCGGGCTGGTCTTGAACCCACGGGCCCAGGCAATCCACTCACCTCGGTCTCCCAAAGTGCTGGGATTACAGGCTGAGCCACTGAGCCCGGCCATCACACAATTTATTTATCTCATTCCATATTAAGGGACATTTAGTTTGTTTCCAGTTTATACTATTGCAAAGAACTGCAGTGAACAAACTATCTCTATAAGTCTTTGTACACTTGAGCCAGGATATTTGGGGCAGATTTCCTGTAAATGGAACTACTAGGTCAATTTGTGTGCTCGTGTATGTGCACGTGCATGCTCTTTCTAAATTGTGACAGCACTAAATTATCCTCCAAAAACGCGGTACTTAATATATTTGCACTTTCACCAAGGGTGCCTATTATGCAAATATAAATCACCGATGAGCATACCACTCAGCCTGTTTGCTCAACTCAGCATTCATCCACAGCCTTCTGTAAGCCTCAGTTGCATCAGGTCTCATGGGAGCAAGTAGCACAGATGCTGCTCAGAGCAGAACCCCAGCTTGCCATGCCACTGTCGCCTCAAGTGGGCTATACATGCATTCACTCAAACAAATATTTTCTAAAGCTTACAATAGGCCGGGCACTTGAGCTTTCCTGGGAACTTTACAGATCAGGTCACAGACTCAGAAAGGTTAAGGCTCCACTCCTTTGAGCTCTCATCATAAGGAACCTCTGGCCCCTGAGCTAGAGCTGCACTCAATTGATTTTTCTCAGATTGTACCCAAATATGCACTGGGCAATAATAATAATACTAATAACATTTGGGCAAAGGATTTTAATATTCATTACAACAATAGCTGACATTTATTAGGCACTTGCATGCAAAGCATTGTTCTAAGTGTTTTTTCACAAATGCATTTACTTGACTTATTCACTTCTTATTCAGACTCCAACAAAACAAGGAAAGTAAAACAGGTAACTTCCCAGGGCATCCTGCTGGTAGTGGAAGAGGAAGGATTTGACTTCAGGCAGTCTGGCTCAAGAGTCCATTTTAACCACTACAAATTCTTCTCATAAGCACCTCATTCTGAGAATTATTCCCACTTTATAGAAACTGAGTCTCAGGGAGGCAAAGAGATCCATTTAAATTACACGGTTTTTCAGTCAGGCTCGCTAGCTCAACCTGTAATCCCAGTACTTTGGGAGGCCGAGGCGAGTTGATTGCCTGAGCCCGTGAGTTCGAGACCAGACTGGGCAACTTGGTAAGATCTCATCTCTACAATAAATAAATAAAAATTAGCTGGCATGGTAATGCATGCCTCTAGTTCCAGCTACTTGGAAGGCTGAGGCAGAAGAATCGCAGGAGCACAGCAGGTCGACGCTGGGGTGGACCTGAGTGTGTCATTGCACTCCAGCCTGGGCAACAGAGTGTGACACCAGCTCAAAAAAGTAAAATATAAGTTTATTTTTAGGCTGGGCTCAGTGGCTCAGTCTGTAATCCCAGCACTTTGGGAGGCCAAGGCGAGAGGATTGCCTGAGCCCGCGGGTTCGAGACCTGCCCAGGTAACTTGGCAAGACCTCATCTCTACAATAAATCAAAAAAAAATTAGCTGGGCATGGTAGCACGCGCCTGCAGTTCCAGCTATTTGGAAGGCTGAGACAGAAGGGTCGCTGGACCCAGCAGGTCGAGGCTGCAGTGGCCGGGAGCATGCCACTGCACTCCAGTCTGGGCGATAGAGTGAGACTCCAATTCAAAAAAAAAAATTTATTTTTAAATATTACACCGTTTTTTGGTGTTATTGCTCAGACTTGAACTTGGGTCTTTTAACCTAAAATCAAAAGAGATCATGCACTGACACTTTTTTGAGGAATAACTCAGCGGTCCAGGGCAGAGCCAGGTCTGAGAATCCCAGGATGTCAGACCTAGTGGGACTCCCACCAGGAAGATGAGGAGTGGAGAGTCAGGTCACCCACTGGCTTTGTATCAGCCAATTATTGAAGGGTATGCAAATAAATTTCAGGCTGAGTTAGGTGATGTTGGGTAGTTCTGGATGCAGGGGAAAGTGGGGTGGTCTTGGAAGAGCAGAGAAATGGTCTAAAACAGGTACCTGGCCTGTGTACACCAGTACTTGTCCCTTTGTGGTATTAGTTGGTTACAAGGTAATTAAATTTAAGGTGACAGTGGCTGAGATGATGAGAGAGGAAATGGGGGGGGAAGAATTGGGAAGGTAGGACAGAGAGAGAAGACAGGGAAAGAAATGTAGTATTTCCATTCAACCACAGAGTCAGATTTGAAAGTTGGCATCACTTGATCCTGGGGTCGAAATGTATTTCCCTATCAATGAAGCAGCAAGGAGACAACTTCCAGTGCCATTAATTTCTGAGATTCAGCCACTAGTAGCTCAGTGAGGTTGAATGAGTGGATGCATCACCAAATAAGCTCACATTCCCATAAATCTTTTCCTCCCAGGCTGAGCATTTCTCTTCCCACCATCTTCAGTAGCACCCAGAAAGATAGATAGCATCAAGCCCATTTCTGGGCCCAAGAAAGAATGTTCAAGGGTACAAGCAGGTTCTGAAAGCCCACTTTGAGCTCAGGACAAGGCATTTATCTTGCCCCCCCCTCAGT